GATTGAAGTTGTTTTAACTTGAGGATTTTGTTGCAAGCCAAATATTATAGAATTATTTATTATGATTTTGATGAATCAATGTATTTGGATGGGCTGCACAATTTGGAAAATTGATCGTTTTCGCATCATTATTTAATGATTTTTAAAGAGGATCTGTAGGAAACAAATTGGTTTTATGACGTCTGTACTAAACTATTTGGAGGCCGGAATATTTCTGCTACTCCACAAAACTTCATTCAAAAAGGGATTTGAACTAAGTCAATTAAATAACAAGCCTGTGCCAAGCAAATATTTGATAACTGACTTAAATTATCAATGTTCTGCTTACTCTGAAATGCAAACAGAGACTTAATAAACTTAAATGGATAACAAAGAGCTATGTCTTGGAATAAAATACATGCGCCTGGTTTTTCTTGCTCAAGAGAATGATTAGGTTATTTTTGACAAATGTCATGTTTGACAAATGTTATGTTTGTCCTAACAGATAACCCTTGTCACTGGTTTGCTTTAGAAACGATTTTTTGCAAGTTAATCAATGCTTTAATTTACAATGTTGAAAAGGAGTACTTTAGATGCAATTCAGATGAGTTCACATATGCTACATCTTTGCTCAGAAAGTTTGTCAAGAAAGGATAAGGACAGACACCAATCAGAGAACATCTTAGTAACAAACAGCATAGACTCCGAGCTATTCACTGCATCAATTAACCCCATTGTTAATTGATTTTATTTTACATGATGAGATAATTTCAACTGCAAGATAAAGCAATGAGTTTGTAAAACACACACTGGGTCCAACTTGAACACAATTCCATTAGAACACGCATGTCTTATCTGTGTTCCGTTTGTCCACATGCACACGACTGGCATAGCGTGACAGACTGTAGAGGCTTATGAATAAGTTATTATCAAAGAAGTTTATACATCTGCAACTCATTAAAAATTAACACCAATAACGTTCTTCAGACTACATAAATGACAGCAATGTATCTCAATACCCTTAGGTTGCGTTAGATCCCTATTTTGACCAACCGACCATTACTCAACATTTGGTTAGAATATACAAAACATGCCATTCAAATAGGTGAAATGGGGTCAAAACTAGGAAAATACAAGAAGTATACATCTTCAGAAACTCAAGAATACTCCCTAGATCAGAATGCACTCACAAGGAAGGAACCCAGTAGGACAATACAGCAACGAAGAAGTGGTCTTGTGAAGACGGGGAGAGAAAAAACAACCACGTGTGGTAGACACACATGCTGCACATCACAGTAGCCATACAGTAACAAAAGATAATACAGTTACAAAAAGGCAACTGGTTATAAGCTTCAGGAGAGGGCTTTAGTAAGCAACATTGCCGGTAACCAATGCAGCATTTGTTACCTTCCATTTCACCTTCAAGTTCTAACCCCCCTCGTCTTTCATGGCATGAACAGCCACAAACACACAGAGCCTTCTCTTTCTCTGTCAGTTTTCTACGTAACCAGTACAGGTGCTGGGGGTGTCTACTGGGAGGGAAATACAAGTAGGATTATTCGTGATCAGTGACAACAGTCTCCACGGTCACTTGTACACATGGGCAACGCAAGGCAGATCTACTTATGCAACAACTGCCCCAAAAAGGGAACTTTTACAATGTGGTCAGTACAAATAGTTCTTTTAACAAGAGGGTTTTTAAGCTATAATCTTACTTTTTTAGTACACGGTTCAGATAGAGAGAGAAGTGTTGTTCAACATCTGCCTACACATAAAACGTCAAGGGTGTGAGTGACTGTGTGTTTGTGTAGGGAAGAGGAATATATCTGAAGCTGCATTTGAAAAACCCCATTAGCCGGCTAAATCATTGTTGGACATATTTGTTGTGTGCTGGAAAACCTCATTGCTCAAGAGCTGGAGCTGTGAGTTGGGAAATCCTGATCTAGTGACAAAGGGAATGTGAAAGCCCCTATAGAGCACCTCATCCTATAGATGACCTAGGAAAGGAAACAGGTTAGGCAAGATAAACCCTATGCTGTTCTGTTCCTGGGATGCTGGTCAAACAGAAATCACAAACAAGCAAAACACACAGCAGTACCTGAGAGCAACTTTAACCGCCTCTGTGCAATTACATTATGGATTAATAAACAGCGCAACAACTTAATGAAACCATAATCACATTTAACAGCACTGGTTGGACAACTTACATTTGAACTGCACAATCTCAAGACAATTGTAATGCTTTGCTAATTTTGTCTTACTTATTAGAATATTACACAACATCCCCAGTTAGACACTTGGCTAGGAAGCTGTCTCATGAGTGTTAACACATCGGTTAATACCAAGTAACTTTAAATGGCTGTGACACTAATACGCCGAGAAGATACAGGGACAGAATGGGATTATGACAGGACTCAAGTTGTTTCTCTTGAGCATGCTCCTGTACAAAAGCATTGATCAAAATCAAACTGTTCAGGAAATAAAATGTAATTTAAGTCAAAGGCAATAATTTAGTCAAAACATGTTGGTTGTCAACTTATTGATACAATCAGTGTGTCTTTTTCAGACCTCAAACATATACCTTGGAGTCTGTTAAATATAAGGAAATAGTCATTGAGTTATATTCTTACTTGACTAATTGCCCTGTCCTTGAAGAGCACCTGGTCATTTACATCAACACCACATTTTGGACACAGTAGAGAAGCCACACACAATTTGATCTTGTTTATTTTTTGCCTCTTGGGTAGTATACACCAGAAAGAATAAGAAGAAAGATGGAAACTGTTTCAAAGAAATTCCCAAAATGTATAACTACAGACACAAATGCACAAACACCACACTCAGCTGAAGTCTAGGTACTCAAGTTAAAGTCTACATGGGGAGAAAATATGTATGTGGTGAACTATCATTACTGACAATTAAAATGGCTAGAAATATGCACCCTCACACAAACACTCAAGTTCACAAGCACACTTTCTCCAGTGTTGCTGATGTCAACAGCCTAAACTAGCATACCCTAAGCTTATTAAGACCTGAAAATTGCTGACTGTGGCAGCATGACACACACAGGATATGTGCTGCCGTGCATATCTGACACTACAGCTGAAAGAGCTCTAGATGAGCAGATACATCAGTCTCACAGTGATAAAGGGAGAACAAGACTTCACATAATATCCTTTGAAGACCAGCCTCCCGATAGAGAGCCCCTTTCTGCCTAAAGAGACTGCTGCCTTGGTAACCTTTGGATTACAGAAAGGAGTGCATTCCCTGTTTCTCTGTTCCTACTGGGATGTGTGAGAGCTGGCACAGAGGAGTGAGAAGCCGACAGCAGCACGCTAAAAAGGGTTTGCATCACTAATGAGGTCTGTGCGTGTGGTTGCATGGCCATTAGTTGGTGGGAAAGTGAATAAGTGCACCAAGGTGTAAGCAGGCAAACACCTTATATGCAATCAAATAAAGCTGTTTCAAGGGATGATGTCTCATTTGTGCATTTAATTTTTAGTTCAATTATCCTTTGGACACATTCTTTGGCGGGAGAGCAAAACTTTGTTCTGACGTAACTGTGTTTTATTTTTATTTTCTCATGCTCTTTTTTTCTACTTGTTTTCCTGCCATGAATATAAAACAGTACACAAAATCTGCTAGAGCTATGCCTGATCTCTTTTGGAAATAATCTTATCTTGGTCTGGGATTTGGAGTTTTTACCATTGTCTGACTCAGTGAGCTAGTACTTTTTCCTGTTTATCCTTTGTTATGCTCAATAAAACATGAGCATTAAAATATGTTTGAGGATACGATCATTACTGTTTAGTCTCCCAAAAAACTAAATCATCTCATTGTCAGTAAAAGTGACAGTGAGTGGTCATCACAAAGAAATGTCCAGTAGAGAAAGACACAACAGTCAGCAGGCCACGTTGCTGCCCCTGAGTCACCGATCTTGCTAAAGGTGGCCTGCTGGCGACCAGGTAATCCTATTATTCTAAACCCTGCATATTGTTACCTGCGCCATGAGTCTGAGATTTAAAAAAGTCGTGACACAGTTCATCTACCAGATGTCACATCTTACTGCAGGTACAGTTAAGAGGAAGTACACACATAAATGCAACTTATTTACATTGTAGAAGGCAGCAATGGATATGTTAAATCTGTTGATTTTTAAGTAATAATGTTACACTGAGGTTTTCACCATACTGTTGAGTCTTGTTTTGGATCCTGTAATGTGTAACATTCATTGGTTAATTGAAAGAAACTTGTTAAATACCAATCATTATTTCTTTTTAAAACGTTCATTAATAATAACAAATATTTGGATTTGTTTTCACAAATGCTGATAAATGCTTGTTGTTTTCTTATTCATACAATAATATATTAAATAATTCTGATTGCAACTAGGTGTCGTAGACTGGCTAACCAATCTTTTAACATCATTTTAGCCTCGTCTTGCTGATGATGTTGATTTGAAACCATTTTCCAGATAATTACCTCGAGTAAAACATTACTAATTGAGGAACAATTCAAGGTTGAAAGCATAAACTGCAGGGAAATAACTTTTATTTTTATTTGAACTGATGTGAAAAAAATGGCATACACACAGCTTGTTCCTTTTACATATTTTTGGTCAACAATAACGTTACTAGCCATCAGATAAGTAACGTTTTCTATCAAAGTCCATGTTCAGTGGTTTGGGTTAGCTAGCCATGTTGCTATTCCACAGCTGGCTAGTTAACCTACTTAAACCCATTTGAAACAACACAAATAAACCAGTCATGTCAAGCACCGACAAAACCCATGCGAAGGTTAAAGGCAACTGTCCATCACAGCCACCCTGTAACTAGCTGAGTGTTAGCTGTGTAGCAGAGGAGACTCATGCCCCTCAACATTGATGACTGAATCATATTATGCGGCAAAACACTCGTTCAGAGCGACGTGACGGACAGGAATATAATCACAAAACATGGTTCAATTGTTGATACAACTGTCATGTCATAACTAATGTCAATGTAGATGTCGGATTAGCTTACCAGCACAGGAGAGCTACAATGAGGCACACCAACAAAACGCGCAGCCTCTTCATTATCTTCCCGCGGGGACCAACATCCTCGCTCTTTGAGGTTTTGTCTTATCTCTCTCGTCTACACAATAAACGAAAGACAAGCTGTTTTTGTTGGCTGGGGCCCTGTGTTAATTAGAAAGGCGTAAACGACTGTCTTCTGTGGCTAAAACGCTCACTAGAGGTATGCTAATTGTCATTGTGCGGACCAGTTGTCCGCTTCTTTTTCAGCTTGCGACTGCTGTAAATGGGTCGCTGTTCGTCGGTAAATTCAACCCCTGCTCCACGTCCGACCAATCAAATCAGCGCTTGGAATGTGTCAACCAATCACAGAGCACGTAGCAACGTCGTGGTTTCAACAACACATCCCCTGGACTGATGATGAGTAAGTGACTGTGCTGTGGAACCGGACGCGTCACCTATATCTTGATAAGCAAATCACTAATGCATGCAATGTTTTTCAGTTATTGCTCAATCTTCTGATGTCAAACTTTGCAATAAGTGACTAATGCTGATACCTGTGTAGTTTGTAAGGGCAATGTATATGCAACTAGTTCAAATCACTTGATGAGGTGTGTGAGGAGGAATCTGTACACTGTGTACTTTTTGCATCATAGCCTTAAAAACGTCATATTGTACATACATACCTCAAAACATCCTAAAAGGGATTTAAAAAAAAATAGCCATTTTTTATTAGAGTTCAACGCTCACTGAAATAAACATTAACTTTATTGTTCAATCTGTATTGTGTATTTCTCATATAAACATGTATCAGTATATTTTAACCTTCTAGTTTTCAGTTTCAGTGTTGTTGCTTTTATGTTGACCTTATCCATGTGCCATTCAGGTGAAAGGTGGAAAGGGGGATATTTTAAAGTTCAACAACAATATTATTCGCCCCTCCATTCTTCGACATAACCCCTCCTCCATTTCCCATGTCTCCCACAACATGATTTGCATTGGAGAAATGTCATAATATGTGGATAATATAGATAAACATGAGTACCGTTTTTGTTTACTAATGTTAAAAATGCTCCATGTCCAGTATCACAGATGTACCAGATGTATGCTGATGCTGATGTTTTTTTGGTATACTTAATTAAAAAAAATGTATCAAAATGTAATCACACATTTATATTTAAAGCCAATCCTCTAACTTTTTAAAATGTATTACTTGTATTGACAAACTGTAGCTAAAACATAGGATCTAATTTATGCTATGTTACTCCATCGTTTTATCAACTTACTCCACATGGCATAGATAAACTCATGGATGCATAATAAGAGAGATAAACTACGTATCCCAGAGTGCAATTTGAGAAGAGCCCTACACATCTGCCTGCAATTTTGTTGTTGTATCTAATTTAGATCTAGTGATGACAAATAATCTAATCCAAAGTAAACCCAATAAAACAGAGAATGAATCCGTTATTGTTTGAAGTCAAACTAAATATATGTTTTTTGTTTTGATCAGGCAGGGTCCTTAGCGTTGCCCCGTCAAGTGAGATCCAGAACATTTAACAGAAGTTAGTTTGCGTTACTAGCCTCTCCTTCACTCACTCATCTTTTAAGCTCCTGTAACACCTTTTTCCCCCTCTTTTGGACGTGTAAGCAGGCGGACTTGGCTATGGAGGTAGGCCGGGTGATTGCGTGTGCCCTGTCCGTGTTCGTCGCTCTGTTTTCGGACAGGTTTTTGCTGGTGGCTTCCTTCTCTCAGTCTATGGACAGCGACTTCACTTTTACTCTAGCCGCCGGTCGCAAGGAGTGTTTCTTCCAGACTATGAAGAAAGATGCCTCACTGGAAATTGAATACCAGGTGATATAAACTCTTCTTAATTACAATTATACTTTAATACATTGTAACGTAAGCTGAGCAAACCACCTATTTATGTCTGGACTGTGACAATTCAATGATAACCCCTGAGCCTGAGTCAACATTGACATAACATTACACTTTTAATAATCAATTTTAATATGGTACTGTTATCGTTTCCTGCATATTGTGGGCCTCATTTACAGGTTTCATTAATGCAAACCCCTTATAAATGACCATATAATTTCTATGAGAAAGGGAGCCAACGGGTTATGTAGCTCACACCTCTATGTTCATTTGGCTGGGAACCTGTTTTGCCTGTTAGTATACACAGTGTACTACACTGCATGAGTCTGACTCTCTGGTGGTTGTAGTAGTTAGGTAATGTCAGGGAGTTTACATAAATTGCCTGTGGGAGACATGCCGAGCATTTTACACGTCTTTTGTAGTGTCTACCCTGGAGCACAAGGTAGAATAAAGGGGGGCCTAGATAGAGAAACTAGAGCTCCCCACATTTAATATACTGATACTAAGATTCATTGATTGATTGAAGTTAATAATAACCCACATATAATCTTTCAGTATTGTTTTTATGTCTCGGTTTTCAAAATGTACTCTGTCCCATTAACTTTCAAGTGTGATGTCCTACATTTTCCACAGGTTTTAGATGGAGCAGGTCTCGATGTAGATTTCTTAATTTCCTCTCCTTCTGGTCAAGTGCTGTTCAGTGACTACCACAAGTCCGATGGAGTACACACGTGAGTTACATAGGTCATCTTAGTAACATGCATGACTGACACAGACGCATGTGTAAGCTCTTACTACCTGTGTTTCCCTCCAGTGTTGAGACTGTGGATGGAGACTACATGTTCTGCTTCGACAACACATTCAGCTCTGTCTCCGAGAAGCTCATCTTCTTTGAGTTGATCCTGGACAACATGGAAACAGAAGAAGAACAAGACGACTGGAAGGCGTACGTCCAGGGAACCGACATACTGGACATGAAGCTGGAAGACATAATGGTGAGGGTGCAGAGATAGACCATGTGTTATGTATTAAATATTCAACTTGACATGCATATTCAAATAGATAATCGTACAAAAGGTTTGTTTGTGTAGAACCTCCTTAGCATGAATGGCACTAGTGAGAAGTTGATTCAAAGTGTTGTTTTATTCTTACCGGGTGTTTCGGACTTTGTCCCTCTCTTGTTTGCCATGATATTGTCACTGTGCCACCTATGCTCTAAAGATGACATAGGAGGTGCAAAGTGACCCAACAGGCAGTCAATAAAATGGCATGCAGTGTAAGTAAGATATAAACGCTGGGGGTAGTTCCACCAAGCTGCACTGCACAGCAAGGTAAAATGTTTACCTTGATGACGGCTGCAGCTATTTTCAGATCACTGCGACTCTTTCTGTTACTTAGTACCACCCTTTTCCTGCAGTATTTCTGACTGATCTACCAACCAAATAGAGCAAAACATGTCCATATCTGGTTGAGTAGACCTAATGAATTTCCTGTAACTTGGTGGCCCATTGTTTTTGCTTTTGCTTTGCAAGTAGATAGCTACTAATGTCAAGCAGCAACATACCCTAAACTCAAAATCCCAAAGATGCTGATAAAAGCTACAAAAGTACTGAAGGTTAACCACCGTTAGAAAATAGCTTTGTATGTAGTCTCTAGTACATGACTGCATCAGTAAGCTGTAGAGAGGAAACGCATGTTGGCACAGCACTGCTAAAATCAGACCAACCTGGGTGCATGGAAAAACCCTTACACATACAAAGTCACAAGGAGAGTGTCCCAAGAATAGACATTGTCATGAACCCTCACCTATTGGCTAAGGACCGCCAATTGTCTCAGCTTGCGCCACAAAAGCCTGTAACGCCTCTTCAACAGGAACTGCCGTAATTTGTGTCAGAAGTCCCATAAGCCTCCATCAAAAGACAGGAAATGTATCCTCCAGCTGTGCAGGAAGTTGATTTCCCATATAATTAGGGAACATACCTAACTAATTTAAAGTTCCTATAGATCTGACTCTTATTTCAATCACTCTGCTTTGTAAGTCTATACGTTTTAAAGATTTTAGTGTCATGGAGAAGTAATGTTGAAAGTCTTCAGATTCTGTCACCCTGACCTGTGTGTCTCCTCTCCTCCAGGACACCATCAACAATGTGAAGGCTCGGCTGGGCAAGAGTGTGCACATCCAGACGGTGCTGCGTGCGTTCGAGGCTCGTGACAGAAACATCCAGGAGAGTAACTTTGACAGGGTTAACTTCTGGTCCATCACAAACCTTGTTGTTATGATGATGATAGCGGCGACCCAGGTCTACCTTGTCCGCTCACTGTTTGAAGATAAAAGGAAAATCCGCACATAACACCACCCCGAACGAAAAGACGGACAGAGAGAGAACGCCCTCAGACACCTTTTGGGATTTTTTTTCAACTGGTTTCCTACTTTTAACACAAGATGTCCACCCACACATACACAAACAGACATTTTGTCTTATTAATAACAAAGGGTTGTTACTCTGGTCCACTGGAGTTTCGTGGCCAGGATTCACTGGTTTGGGACAGGAACTTTTAACTGTTGACCCCTCTGCTTTGCAAACTCCTCCATGCTACAGAAAAAGTGTCTTTGTCTCTCTCTCTTTTAAACTTGTATATTGTTTTATAGTCTTCCTTAGTGGCTGTAATTCTTTCAAAAAGTGACAAGCACATCATAACAAGCATGTTAATGATATGAATATTTTTTCTTACAGAGCCTAAAGTTAACAGGCCAGTGGCCAATTGCAAAAATGTCCTCTTTGCCTCAGACATGTTTTTATATGCGATAGACTAGATGAAGAAATGATATAGTGGGAAGTACAATCAGTTAGACAGCAAGTCTTCCCTAGACAGATATTACTTTAAAAAAGATACTGTTACAGAGAACCCTCAGTGTTTCTTCCATTGCCTTGAACATTTCAGTTATATCTAGAAATTCAGACAGATTTTCCCTTTCATGCCAATACTGAAATGAAAGTCAGACATGCTCTTTAGCAATCAAGGGGCCATGGATCAAGGGGCCAAATCTCATTAAGACTTCTGCCCCCCTCTCATTTGCATTGATTTGTGGGCTTAATGGCAGCTAGCTCCACTCCTCCGCTGTGAAGCTCAGTGCTGCTGGCAGGTGTCTGCTTACAGCCACCTACTGTGTGGAGATGTGGAGTCTGCCTGTTTCTCTGGTGACTAAAGTCTATTTCTATCTTCCCGACACCTGGAAGGTCATTACCACTGCTTTATCAGTGCACTGCTCTGTTCATTATGCACGGGCCACTTACTGCCTTGGCCACGTCAGCGTTCTTTTACAAATATTTCTGTGAATTATTTTGGATATTTACATACTTTTATTAGCCACCATTACAAGCTATCTGATCATTGCACTGCCTCTGATGCCACAGAACAACTTGTGTTTTGTATTCATATTCTTTAGAGCATTATCTGTGGGCCCCAAAGTGTGTTTTTACGATAATGGGGGGCCAATCAGAAACCGGTCCTCAACGTGTTCTGATGTGTGAGTGAAGGAAGCAGCTCTAGAGATTTGTCTGTTATTGATTAAAAGAATAATTAAGTATTAAGACACTGCTGTGGATTTTCAAAATGGTTGCTGAGAGAATTAGTTTTATTGTTAATTCTGAGCGTCACAGGTGAAACTTGGTAACCCACTACCCTCCTGGAAGCTTCATGTTGCCATCTTCTGATTTAACCTGAGCTGTAAGATAAAGAACACAGTGAGTTCATGCTTAGTTCAACAGCTTTACATTGAAAATAAGACCGTTTTTACACAGTTTTGCCGTACATGTTGTTTCTCCCTGCAATAACAAATGTGATGCCTTTTGAGTGTAAAAAGAAAATCATCCTATGCCTTTGTTTAAGTGCGTTCAACCATTCATTGTTATTCTGTCCGCCATTATCTCACTGTGGTTTGCAGTTTTTAATTTAAAAGTATGTAGTGTTGGATTTTAATGTGCTTCAGAGTTCTACAAAAAATAAAGAAAACAAATATTTTTATGTTACTGAGTAGAAGATTGTCAAAGTTTCTGGGTCAACTTTAGAACTGAAAAGTATTTTTTACTACCCCGAAGTAGAGGTGGAGTTGGAGGGAATGTGATGTTAAACATTTTTTATTCAACTTATGTCCTGTAGTTGTAAATGTGTATAAATTAAACAGTAAAACAGTCATACCTTTTTCTGACTCCTGTGTTCCACTATGTTTAAACATGTTGGTTATTGTAACGTTAGAGACATCCTATCAAACTTTTGTGTAGATACCTGTAGGGGAGCTGGAGCTTCTTCAGCATACAGCAGTTCAGACGAAGTGGAAGTGACCAAATTATTTAGCTTTGGCACATTTTGGTTTCTTTTTGTGCATCTCGAGGTGCAGAGCTCTGATGATGAGACAATCCTTCAGTGCAGAGCCCGAGCCCCCCGCCATGCACAGCGGACGCAGCCTAGGAGAACTGAAAAAAGAGAAAGTGGTTTGGGGCTTGTTTTCCACAACAACAATTTTACACTTTTATTCAAATACAGGCACTTACTGGCCTATCAGACGCTGTGTGGATGACCCAATTCTTCTGGAAACCTGGTCTCCCTTTACACATGATATCCTCAACTAAAATCAACGATGGGTGATATGTAAGAGACAACGAAGCATCAGTTAACAAAATCTGTAAGAAAATGTAGGCTAAGCCGTTGTAAGAAATGTGCTTTTTCTATGTTCTAAATTGAAATGCAAGGTTAAAATTAGGTTCCCAACCATGGTTTCTTTCAGTAGGAAGAATTTACCATGGTGCTTGGTGTTTGTGGCTCCTTTGACTCTGACCTGTGAGGTTTACAGGCGGCCTGAATTTTCACAAAGGAGACAGAGGCCTTGGGTGGCCTTTGCACTGAGTTGCTCCTGTTTGAAAGAATATAGATGAGGGTTATCGAAGGGTACCACACTCAATACGATGAAAGTATTGCAAAGTGACACAAACCTTCAGTGACATGTGAACAAGTTATACATTACATTTTTGAAGACTTCAGGGTCTGTTGGTCAGAGAAGGGGCCACAAATATCCAACACCGCCACCTTGTCAAAGAAAAACAAAAGGAGGACATTTTTGGTATACAAAGTAAGGACGATCATCTTCCTAGGGCACAGTCAAATGACCTGCCTCATGAAAACACGGGATCAGATATACACTGCATTTAGAAAAGTGTTTAACAACCAGTCATTAAATGTGTGTTTTAGCAGGGCTCCCTGAGGTTGTAGTATTACATTTTAAACTTTTCCCATAGAATTAGCTTGTTTTCATTCTTTTTGTTGTTTTATGTTTGTGTTTTTTTTTAATGGAGGCATCATTATATTGTTTTATCATACTTCATTGTCTGTTTCCGTGAAAAAAATACATGTATTTTTATTTATTTTCATGTTAAAACAAATAAACAAAGTGTAAAAAATATGAAGTTGTTTGTTTTTATATTGTGTATTCAATAGATATACTCTAAATACATATATCTTAAACTATTGATATGTATATATTCACTGTTTTTTTTATCTTCTACAGTGGATATGTATATCTTTACTGTTGTTTCTTAATTTTCTATTTTATTTATTTTTGCATTAGGATCAATAAAATATATCTAATCTAATACAATCTAAGAAGTCATCAGTATACATTTTACAGATGCTGTTGTCTTCTCTCTGATCATCCACCCACAGGGGGCGTCTCTGGCTGAGAGCTCTCATAAAGTGCTCACTGCTCACTTCTCTTCCGGCTTTGTGACAGGATGAGATTGTAGCATCAGCGCTGAACAGAATCCCAGCTCAAGTAGGTGGAAAACCTTTAGAGATGTGTGTGGAGACTGTTAAACTCAATCATCAATGTATTCGTGTTCATAAACACACATGTACGTCTGGTATATGTGCGCTTTTATTATCGTGCTATAGCCGGAAGTACCGATAGTTTCATGCTAGCAGCAGAGCAGCACTGGTTGCGAAAGTGAAAAGTTAAAACCCTGTTATCATCCCATTCTTAATTAAATCAATAAATTAGATACAGAAATTACATGACAAATAACTTATTAGCTTACAAGCCAACATTTGAAAAATAAACTTTGATTAATCTGTTAAACGTTGACGTCCACCTGCTACAATGAGCAATAATTCCCTTCTACAATAGTATCTGACCTTATCATAACGCACAAGACGCACTCAAAAGATCCAGTCTGTAGGATTCTGTAGCATCTAATGTGGTTCTCAAACTTTTTCTATCAGGCCCCCCTTTGGAGAAAAGTCGGGCCCCCCAAACACAAATAGTTAGGCTCAGTGGCGGCGCCAGAGATTTATTTTGGGGGTGCTGTGGGGTAGCTTGACGTTTCATAGAGGGTGCCCAAACCTTTAGGGTTTCCCATTAATGTACCGGTCGCTACAGTGGAATTTTCTACTGCAACAATCCCCACGCATATACACAGTGTGACAGTTACAACGAAGGCTCGATTATCAGCTCACGGCATATAGGTGTAAGCAGGGGTAAAGTGCTATTTTTATAGGTGGTGTGTGGACCTCACATAGGGGGGTCCAGGGGCAAGCTCCCCCCCGGGAAGATTTGTTTTTAAATATTGAAGTTAAATGCATCAATCTGGTGCACTTTGAGAGCAAAATGAAGAGATCTATGGATAGATCTCTCAACACGTAATAGTACTGTACTGCATCATATTATTTTCGAATCAATAATTTTTAAAATTATGATTTCCTTTTTTTTAACCATTTTTCCTCTTGGTTTCTCGCGCCTCCCTGGCATGCCTCTGCGTGCACCCCACTTTGAGAACCACTGCCCTAATCTAATCTAACTAGATTCCTTAATTTAAATCTTGATTTGTTTGACCACAAATGAAAACCTTTATTTACCTCTTTATTATTTAGGCATTTCAAATGTAGTTTAATTGTTTAGCAGGTCCAGAGAGATCCAGACTCCCTTTTGTCTATTCTTTACTATCCATACATGTTCTTTAATTAAAATACTTTATTATTATGGAATAATTACTGTATTGTTTATAAGGAAAACTGGAAAATGTATACCGCATTTAATACATATATTGATGTGTATTTTTTCTCAATATATTCACAATAACAACGATACTTAATTTCAGGTGATTGCGCGATAGTGAAAGCATAATAATATGTGTCATATTAAGAGGATATTCAGCTGGGGATATGTACAATTATTGCTCATAAATGTGACTGTGTTTATGTGTGTGTGATCAGGGTGATGGGGCCTGACGGAGCCCCGGGTCCAGCTGTGCCCTGGAGGAAGGTGCTGTGGGAGCGGCAGCCGTTCCCTGACAACTATGTGGACCAGCGTTTCCTGGAGGAACTACGCAGGAACGAGGGCATCCGACAGTACCGATACTGGACTGTGGTGAAAGAGGCAGGCTTTGTCGGAGAACAGCTGTCCTGTGTGGCCATTTTTATCACCCTCTGGCTCTACATGGAGCAGGTAAAGCTTTTAGAAAACTGTCTCGTAGAACACACTGTAGCCTTAAGGCAGGGGTTCCCAAACTTTGCCATGCCAAGGACCCCCATATAGCATTATCGTCTGTCGGGGACCCCCCTGTTGCAATTTGTTTTTAAATGATTTCCGTACGATTCTAATTAAACAGGGCCCGTACCTGTCGCAACCAATTTCGACATTCTAATTAGAACAGTATAACGAGAGGTAGTNGCCCACGGTGGTGGTGGGGTTATGGTATGGGCAGGCGTATGTTATGGACGACGAACACAGGCCACTCGATTCACAACATTACCCTAACCCTAACCCTAACAATAATCCTAACCCTCACACCAGATACTGACTAGTTTTCTGACCCCCCCAATAAAGCAAAAATGCACGTTTCAGAGTGGCCTTTTATTGTGGCCAGCCTAAGGCACACCTGTGCAATAATCATGCTGTCTAATCAGCATCTTGATATGCCACACCTGTGAGGTGGGATGGATTATCTCGGCAAAGGAGAAGTGCTCACTATCACAGATTTTTTCAGATTTGTGAACAATATTTGAGAGAAATGGTTATTTTGTGTATATAGAAAATGTTTTAGATCTTTGAGTTCATCTCATGAAAAATGGGAGCAAAAACAAAAGTGTTGCGTTTATATTTTTGTTCAGTGTATTATGCAGTGGCCCCTTACACCAACCACAAGGGCCTCTATACATCTTTGACCGTAGTTAGCAAACTGCTGTCATACACGACCGCTGTAAAAGTGAGTAAAGTGATTTGGCAAAGTAGAAATACCACAGATAAAAACAATCTGTAACAAAGTGTTAGAATTGATTACTGCCACATAAAACCTAAAATAAGAGAAACCAGGATTCATGTTCAAAAATATAACCTGTTTATTCAAAAACATTGAAAATAGTGCATGTGCGGTCTGTTTAGGTAGAATAACTGCAATTTGGTATTTCTATTTACACAAGGTTCAGGCACTCTTGGAAAGTAGGCAGACAGAGGAGCACATTCCGGCATTTATGGCCAATGGTATTATGTACAAAACAGGCCGCTCAAGACTCAGTGAATTAGCAGACGGCAGCTCCCAGAGGACAGAAGCCCAGCAGAGCTTCAGCTGGAGGACACATCACAAAGGGCAGAGGTCTCTGAGCACCAGCGAGCGGCGGTTTAGAGGATCACTGGTATCGATGGGTAATGGAGTTCTGAGTAGAAAATACTGTTATTTCACATTTGGGATAGCTGGAGGATGCCTCCTGGAGAGAAGATCAGATTAAATATATTAATATAATGTTGAATATAATATAACAATAATACCAAAACACACAGTATTGCATACTACAGTCCAGAAATATATTTTACAAGGAGCGACAAATGCAATACTGTGCCTTGTTCTTGTGAGTTGTTACGACCCACCATTGATGTGCTTGGTTCTACTTAAAGGCAGACAAAATAAATGTAATATATAGATATTGTCTGATCCCTCATGAGTGTAGTTATGCTGCAGCTAACTCTGCTGTTGCCAGGAAATAACAACATTTCAAAATGTATAATAAAATGAATGAATAAAATCGAAATAAAGAAAGTATACATTTCTAACAAAAGTCTTTACTGCAGCTATAAAAAAAAAGAAAGGGAAATGGCCCTTACTTATCTGATGAGCTCTGGTCTAAAGGCTTACCATGAAACATGTAAAAACCTTTACATTAAAAAGTATATTGGTTTGGTAGTGTTTTGAAAAAGAACAGAGAAAATGATTGGTGAATAACAGCTTGGAAATAATGGTGATATTACTGTTATCTGAGATAGCTATAATATACATAAGACAGCGGTTTGTTACAGAACAAAAAATATTTGATGTGAAATTTGGAGATGAGCAAATCAAAATGTTTGAGCACTTTGTTTCAGGGCTCATTGTTCCCGCTCACATATTTCCTTATACATATATTTATTTGGCAATATTTATTTTTAACTTGCTGTAATACTGCACCATATTAAGATTGTTAAACAATTCATAACCTTGTGGATTGACAGACATTTCGGTGATTTTTTATAAATATAGTCAAGAAACAAAAATCATGCCCCCACATACTGTATATCTATAGGGGAGAGAGTCTGAGTAAGCAGAGAGGCATAAAGTAGGATGGAAAGAGTCAAAGGAAAGAGGGAGACCATGCGGGAAAGAACCTAAAGAACCATCGGAGAGCACAGAGGAAATGAGGCGGAGAGAAAAAGGAGAGACCGGCCAAAAGCAGGGGAGGAACCAGTGAAAGGGGAGAAATGTACGAGAAAAATAAGTTGGGGGGGGAAAGGGAAAATAACGGTTATTGCATGAGAGAAACTGGGGAAGGGCAATAAAACAAATTCATGCTAGGAGAAAGAGGGAAAAGGGGGGATGAAGCGCAGAGAGAAAGATGAAAACTTGACAGAGTGCTCAGCCTGTTGTCTCTGGCTCCAGTAGAAAGCTGCACAGAGAAGTCTACTGAGGCTGATGGGAAAGAGAATATGAGAAACACATTTTCCAGCAGACCCCCACCCAGCTCAAATAACAATTCCCTCTGCCCCTGTAGCGCAAGGTTTCATTGTGTGTACGTGAGCATGCATATAAGCCAGTGCATGTTTAATTGGCAGACTGGAGGACATCATAAAGTAGCGAGGTTATGGCGTGGTTTCAGAGTCACCTTGGCACACTAGGTGGAGCACGGTGATGTTGCCTAGCGATCTGCTGAAGGCTCTTGGTGCTCTTGGAAGAAGCATTAGAGGGCACTCGAGGGACGGATGGGGCATGGCCTCGAACACCGACACTGGTCTTTTTAGGGAGTGTCGGGCTAGGTGGAGAAGAGAACTTTGAGTGACAGGTAGAGGTAGCACAGTTTTCTGAATGTACACTGAAAAACTGAAACTTTAAGTGAATGTATTAAAGGTGGGGTAGGTAATTTTGGAGAAACCAGCTCGAGTGCGCTAGAATTTGAAAGTACACAACCGGAAAAAATCTGCCACTTCCTTACAGAGCCCCTCCTCCAACACACACGAACGCGCACATGACCAATGAGGGCACGAGATAAGTTTGTGCACAGATGGAAGGCTGACAGGCAGGTAGGCCATCCAGTTATTTTAGCCGGGTCGGCTCAGATGATTGGTCGTGCTTTTTACAGAACCACGGCTTCCACAGATGAAATCTTTAATGGATTTGTTGTCAAAGCTCTTCAGATATTCATTGCTATCTGGATGTTAAGAGCATTCCATGGAAAATAACACAAAGTGTATCTGAAATAAATGACATAGCCCACCTTTAACAAATTAAACATAATTGTAGAAGGTTAGTTGAAAGCTATAATATTAAGTTGAACCTAATATTTTTCAGTGTACTTTTGCATCTCTGTAGTTTATATATGTCTGTACCTGGAGGGTCGTATCCAGGAGGAGTCTACAGGTGGAGGCAGAGGGGTGGTGCAGGTAGAGGTGGAGAACTTTCCAATGACAGCGAGCGCCTCCTTCAGCGCGGCGTGCTTGCGGAGAACTTCCTCCCGGTACTTCTGCTGCTCCGTTGACTCATCCATCAGCGCTGAGCATTCTCCCAGAGCGTAGAGCTGGGCCAGGAGCTCAGAGCTAATGAACTCCTTCACCTACGGAGAGGGATTATTAACAGCTGTGACCAGTCAAATTGTAAGAGTTAGTAAAGTGATATTTTAGTCCAATTTGGGATTTTGGCTCCAAATTCTTGAAGGCGTTGTGCAAATCATTGTCTTTTTTTTCCTTTGGTCTCCCCTTTCTTTTTTTAATTCATTGAAATATGATCAAATAGTGTTTCAAATTGGTGAAGACTTGTAAAGAAATACATATGAAAAAGTAATGAGGAAGATTGATGCCAAACAAAGTCACTTTAAGGGTTTGAGAGGCAAGAAAAGTGCTGATTTTGTTGGACTGTGGTGAGCAAAAATGATTCAAAATAGTTAAAAAGTGTGGCCTGTCTTACGCTGTTGATCATGAGGTGCATAATGGTCTTTGGCATGAGGTCCTTGATGGTCTTATAGATGATGCTCATGTAGGATTCCACCAGGTTACGGATGGTCTCCACCTGACGCTCCAACTGAGGGTCTGTGAAGTTCTCAGGAGCTCCATTCCCCTGCTCATCCATCTAGGTGAAGGACAGAGGGGATGGAGTAAGGAGCAGATTGTCCTCATGTGTTTTAAACAAGGATAAATACTATAGTATAGTGTGATAGAAAAACTAAGCCAATAACGTTAATACAGATTTGTGAAGCAATTACGATTTGTTTTATGTGTATTTCTAAATCTATTCTATGCTTTTTTTTATTGAGCCACTACGATAGGACCAGGGAGAGCAGAATAGGGGAAGCACAGGAGAGGGGGTTAGGGAGGAGGGGGCAGAAGAAAGAAAAGGGGGAGTGGGTGAGGGATAAGGAACTGCTGATTAGAAACAGACTAGAACACACACACACACACACACACACACACACACACACACACACACACACACACACACACACACACACACACACACACACACACACACACACACACACACACACACACACACACACGTTGTAGTGACATCATGGGCCAAGAATGCTGTGTTGAAGAGCCAACGACAGAGCGAGATGGAAGGGGTGGGGGACTTGCAGTTTTTGCTTTTGGCAGGGGAAGAGAAGGGGGAACATGGAGAGAAGGGTACGGGGTTATTGTCAGGGATTAAGGTGAGCAAAGTCAATGAGGGCATACGACACAAACGCTAAAGGTGCAGAGAGGTGCAGCTCCCCACAGCTGAAGGTCAGGGTGGGGTTTAATTAGGTTGAATTGGGGGTCAGAGTACTAACTGCGACTTTCTCAGGGTAAACTCCGGCCTGCAGCAGAGACGCCTTCCAGCTGTCCAACTCCTCCTGAGAGCCACACGCCAACTCCAGGCTTTTGTAGTCTTTATACACGTTCCTGCAAAATCAGTGCAACATTGTCAGACATCTCCAAGCTTTGGATAATAATGCGTTTTTCACAATACAGAGTAATAAACACAGAAGTGCCGAATGAGCCTATATAAGACAAGAATTAGTCAAAAAGGAACTCTGAACTTTTAGTAATGACTGGTTATTGCTGTGTTTTTCTTCCCCTGGCAACTTAGGTTATGTAGCCAGGGTTTTGTCCCAATGTGTGGAATAATTTTAAGCTAAAGCAACAATGTTTTCAGTTATTTAAAGCTATGCAACGTCTCCTATTTCTCACCAGTTTAAGTTCCAGTGGAAACAAAATAAGTATTACTTCAGGTCTTGTGGAAAGAGAGGAGAGTAGTCTCAAGTAAAGTCTTTCCTTCTAAACATTTTCAAATTCAGACGGTTAAACTATCACGTATCTTTTGAGCTATTACTTTTGAGAGGAGGCCAATCATTTAATATTAGTAAGTGCGTAGTTTCCTGAAAAAGGAAAATATATATTCATAATGGCCCATTGACAAGAATTTACATTTGTTGTTTAAAAATAATAATTAGTTAAGGACTTTCTTGTTTTAACCGTGCACAATGTTACAAATAAATTGTAAAGAAAACAATTGCGTCAATTATTTGCCAGAACCTCCATGCAACATGTATACAAAAATATGAACAGAACAGCCTGGTCCAGTTGACGGTGTGTTAACACTGGACATTTATATAAATGGAGCACTGGCTGACCTTTGCCCTCCTCCTGCATCCTGTGTAAATGACCTGACACAGGGGTAGCACAGGTCATTGAGTTTATATTAAAAGGGCCCCACCAGAGTGAACCCTGTGTTGGGAACCACAGATTGAACACAGATCACTGAAGGAAGAAGAATTGTTTAACAAGTTTGAACGTTTTTTCCAAAAATGCAATTTAAATGCAATATCGTATATAAAATCTAAAGGACTTTAAAGAGGGAGACCAGGGCCGTCCCCCCCTACAGGCCGATCATGCAGACTGCGTGGGGCCTCTCCTTGCGGAGGGTGCCTCAACTGAGCCGAAAATGCGGCGCAATTAATGTGGCGCGGCACGGTTTCGCCGCTGCAAGGCTCCACTAGAACCCCTCATGTAGGCCAGGGACGGCCCTGAGGGAGACACACACAAGCGCTTGCAGCTAGGCAGATACACACACATCCACAGAGACACAAAATAAATCAGTTTATACTGCTGTGCTTGACATGACCACAGCTAGTGCAACCCTTATCTCCATCATCTATTTTCTCTACATTTCCCAGCTCCTCTTTCCACTCCATCTTTTCTCTCTCTTCACACCAGCAAAGTATCTCTGTGCTTTGGCTGCGATGGCAACACAGCAAAGTAAGAAACAATCAAAGGATCTGGAGCAGGCAGCGGCCCATCTGTTAAACATTTTTCTTTAATCACTCCGTTTTTTCTTTCCTCCTTTTGTTCCATTCTCACATTCAGAACACATAGCAATTAACCCCAAATATGTGAAACCTTTGTGTGTAAGGGAGACAACAGACATGGAAAGAGAACAAGAGATAGACTGCAGCAACATAAAGGGAAACAGAAAGATTTAGCCTTCAGTTGGAGAGCTTATGGCTGAGCTAGGATGGGTGAGGTTAATACGTCAGGGTGTGGTGGCTCACAGACGGGGAGCCAGGCCAACAATGACAATACTAGAGTGCTATAACCCTCAAATCAGAACACTAACATGCGTATACACCAGCGAGCACACATTCAAATTGTTCTCTGCGCTGATTTATCACTCTCTTCAACTTTTTTCATCCCCTTTGCTATCCTCTCCTCAGCTTGTAGCCAGTGTGAGTTTTTTCACTCATCTTGAGAAATTCTGTACAGAGCCCTCGCTGCTTTAGACTTGAGGAGTTTCCTGAGGTTTTGGATTACTGTTAGACAGGGACAAAAACCACTGCAATGTCTGCCACACACACACGACACACACACACACACACACACACACACACACACACACACACACACACACACACACACACACACACACACACACACACACACACACACAGACTCTCTCTCTCTCTCTCTTACACACACACACACACACACACACACACACACACACACACACACACACACACACACACACACACACACACACACACACACATAGAGAAAGAGAAACAGAGAAAGAGCGCAGGAAAGGGAGATCGGAAGAGCGACAGAATTTGACACATTCCTGGCCGATGGCTCTGATACTCTCTCTCCCGCTTTCTTTCTGTGCTCAACCCTTCCAATTCTTCTTTCTCCCTCCTTTTTGTGGTGAGTCGAGCAATTCTTTCCAAACAAGAGCAGCCTCATCTCTGATCCAAGCTCTCTGGCTTTGATTAGCTGCTTAATGAGCCTGCCGTCGGTATGCTGTGGTCGATATCCACACACACACACACATAATGCATACACACACACAAAACCACTTTGTGTTACCGAATGCAGCATAGCACAGAATCATAAACAAAAGCCCACATGTTCTGGTACAATCAGTTAGGCATTGGGTCAGATCCAGCTGCTAAACACTCTGTCTCTTTCTCCCTTTCCTTCTCTTTGTCTCACAGTCTTTCCCAATCTGTTTCACACATAAACCACGCAAACACAGCCCTACCCTCAACAGCCTGGCATATACATGGAGGCAAAAAAAACGACACCCGCTGCAGTACACACTGGATATCCTTTCAATTCCAGTGGTGGCAAAGTTGAATGGAAGAGGTCAAAGGAAGGGCAAAACACCACTCTGACATCTCCTCCCTTTTCCTCCTCTGTCATGTCCACCCTTGTAAAACATCCCTTAAACTTCAGCAAGCAGGTGACGAGAACAGAACTCCCTTTTTTCTGATTCATGCACATACTGTACGCACAGAGGCCTGCTCCAGCCACACACAAAACAAACCTTAACTCTGTGTTGAAGAGAGCGAAGACACACTTGCTGGACATGAAGGTCTTCTCCACATCTCTGAACCTTAGGTTGTCCAGGGGGAGCATGTACTTCTTCTCTTTCTCCTGGGAAACACAGAATGCAGAGAGATAAAGCTTGACAAATGCTGATGACTCCAATATGAAATCACAGAGGTAACACAGATGTCGATAGCCAACACAACAGACAATTAAGGAAGTTGAGTTTAGCTAAAATAGCTTTTTGTCTCATAGTAAATATTATTTTGTCTACTCCTTTTTAAGGAAGACTGTGGCAGAGGGACTGTTCAAGTGTCAGAAGGTGAAGGCGAACGAGCACCTGAGTTCATATCAGATGATGTGTCTGCAAGTCAGACGGATTCACAGTCACAGCCCACTTACTAGCGAAATAGAGACAGTGGGAGACAAAGAAAAAAAAGGGGACACCATAAGTCTACACTCTGTCATCACCATGGGGACTTGTGAGTGACAGGGAACAGTTGGAGGAGACTAGCGGCCAGTGTGAGGAGAACCAGACAGTATGGAGGCAGGGTACAGAGAAGTGAAACGGGGAGGGAGGGAGGGAATGAGAGAAGGAGTACGAGAAAAAAGGAGGGAGAGAGGCCGGGCCCACATGTGAAAGTCATTACTCAGACTCAAGCTCTAACACAACATTTTTCCTAAAGTGAAGCCCTTCCCCCTCATCTCTCTTCCTCGGCCTGCTCCCTCCTGCTAACTTTTGAGAAGGAGGCTTGCAGAACGGTTGGTAAGAGGAACGGCCATGGGTGAGGTAAAGAGAGGGAGAAGTATGAGATCGATAGGCAACTTCTATATAATAGAGAACTAGAGCATGCATGCAAAAGATGGAGTCCTACAAATCTTGGACGTTGTGCATGTGGATGCATTTGTGTCTTTGCACACATGTGGAATGAGATGCAAGAGTGCATATGCACATTTCCGTTTTCCCTCTTTCCCCTGAACCCTACGACTCTCTTCCTCCGGTCCTCTTTCCTTTTTTCCAGAGGGGCCCACTTCCTGTTACAGAGGCTAAAAAAAAATGACAGTACGGGATTGGCGCTCATTCAGCAACATCTGGGATCGCTTTGGACAAAGGGGGAGGAGACTGGAGAACGTATAGGGTGCTACGATGGGGTAGGAATAGAAAGTAGAGATGATGAAGAGAGGAAGAGGAGGGATAGAGGTGGACAGATGGATTTGAATTTTTGCTAGAATAGAACAGGAAGGGTTGAGGAACCTACAGAGCAGAGGGAAGTGCACAGGAGAAGTTGGGAGAAACTGCAGACCTCTCCAAAGTTGATTCCCCATGGGTCCCATCAACCCATATATGGCTGCTAAGTTCCTCCCTAACTCTCTCTAGTTCTCTCCCTCCTTGCATTTCCTCATGACTTCCTCGAGTGAACAGGCCGATCCCGAGCTGAATGAGTGAATGTGCCACGTCAAGACTGGATACTACACCGGGACACAGCCCTGCGGACGCCCCGACTCAAGACACATCTCCAGAGGAGGGACAACCATCGGAGTGGACGTCTGAAGTCTGTGAGACCCCTCGCCTTGTGACCCAGCACCGGGGATAAGATAGGAGAGTATAACAGAAGCAAATCTTTCCGAATCCTCTCCGCCACTGGCAGGACTGCTAGCAAACAGCCAGAGCGGGAAAAGCCGAAGCCGCAGAGAAAGTGAGAAAGGGTCCTGCTCCGTCATCCCAGTGTTCAGACTACCTGTTCAGGATCTTACTGGTGTACAGTAGTCTGCACATTGGTTAGACTGTGCAAGGAAAAGCAAGATTCGGGAGAAAACATGCATGTACGCTATTCTGATGCAAATTAAGGGTCTATTAATATGATTTGTCTTTCCTGAACTGATGCAAATGCCTTTAAATGTGCGTTCGCTCTCACACTCTTTCAATGCAGTCACTAACTCTATCTAATGCATCCATTTTGTAGCATTGATCCTCTTTAATTAGATGCTCTTGTTTGTTAGGTGCTATCTAATTACAATGCATCACATTTGAGTAGTGACTGTTGTTTTACCAGTAATTAAGGCAGAACAGCTCATTAAATTAAACTGGCTAATTAATTTAGCTTATTTTTCAAAATCTCAAAATGGACTTATTCCTCTCATTGGGTATTTGGAGCTCCTGCATGTGCATCTGTGTGGCAACATGATAACTCTAGCGTTCAAAGAGATTGTGGCACTGTGTTGTTTATGCATGTGTGTGTCATAATCCCAGCTGTGTCAGGGTGGTTGTGAAGTATCATGCATCAGAGCCGCTTTGTCTCCTTTTAGTCCAGACTAATGGATTTGAGATATTGAGCAGGCCTCACACACACACACACACACACACACACACACACACACACACACACACACACACACACACACACACACACACACACACACACACAACTCTCTCACACACACACACACACACACACACTCCCTCTCTCAAACACACACACCACACACACACACACACACACACCAGAGAGAGAGTGGGAGCATGTAGATAAGGTGTATATGGCATGAGCCGCTGTTTTTCTTCTTTTTTTTTTTGTTTATTAGACTGCCTGGTGGTGGCCCTGCAGTGGAGGGTTGAAGGAATGTATGTCTGTTCAGTGTGCTGTGGAGATTAAACTCTGAAGTATGTATACTGAACTCTCAGTATGAGGTCAG